ATGGGCCTGGGTCACGAGGTTGCACCACAACCATTGGTTGCAGGGCTGACGGATCTTGTTGACATTGAGTAGCCTGGTCAGTCATCGTGGTAGCTGCAATGCGCCGTCCGCAGCAAAGATCCAGCTCGTAGGGCTGTATAGCGAGTTGTACCCCGCACCTTCCACCAATGATGTTACGGGGATAAAGTAAACACAATGAATATATTGGCGAGCTAATGCGTACAACGCTGCTGCAGTCCGAGCACGTTCCCCACAGCGCTTCGTCGCCGTCATGCTCAGGCATTTACTTAGCCCGTGACAATATAATTGTGACTGGTATCATGCTTATGTGTGTTGATGCATACAGGAATGATTTTTCCTAGTACCAAACTAATCGAAATACGTTGTACTTGGTGTCACTTCAAATACAAATAGAAATGAGAACTGTTAGGTTCTCATTAATATTGTTTAACCAAAAAATTCTTAAAATCCCCCTTTCTTTAATTTAAGACACAAATCTGTCTTAAGACCTACATCAAAATATATTTTAATTTAATTAGAAAATGTTACTATTCATGACCCCTAATTAGAAGTACTCAGTTTAATCGGTGTAGAGTAACACTAGCACTTTAATGCAGGCGAGATGTAAGCAACACAAACGTGGTGCAACATAAATTATGACCCAACAAGTAATGGACCTCAAATGCAACATTTTTTTCTACTGCATGACTGCACAAGTCGCTTTGTCAAACTGTGTGATGGTAGCGGCTACGTGGTTGCCAGGTTCTTCACCATGAAGGTGAAGAATTACCAAGTCTAGCATTGCTTCAGAAGTACAGGAGCATATTGGAGCCACGTTGCAGCGCTCTTTTTTCTCGTGCTTTCATCTTACCTTGCGGCATTGTTTCAGTGGTAGTATGAATTCATACCAACTTGCCCAGTTGTCATCTTTCTAAGCGCTCTTTTCAACTGATAACTAAGGTCCCTAGATGTAACAAGTTTCCAAGGTAGGGACACCTTTCCCTTTCCTCCTCACCCATGTTCCTGGAGCACCCCTTAGAAGGTTCAAAAGTTTCATCAAAAAGCAAATGTCTGGGTTCAGTTGCTACGGTGAATAATGTAAATGAAACAAAATGGAATAAAATGAGCCATAGAATCAACGGTTACCTTAATGAACATGAACGATACAACACAAGAGCAAGTAGGATGTGCGTTACTCTATTGGCAACATTGTCCAGTTCTATATTTTACACCACTAGTGATGGCATATCGTGTCGTACATCGTAGTTTGTCTAGTTCACTTCTCGAATGCGCTTTGTTTGTGCTATGACAGAGTGAACCCATTTCTTGCTGGATCCTGTCAGCGACCACAGGGCATGACGCTGTGACGAGTGATTACAGCCGGCTTGTGCACACGCAAAGAAAAACCACGGCCAGACTAGTATGAACGCTTGACTAGCACTGCGATGATGGCTTTTTTAAATGTGCCCATTTTGGCAATCGTGATGCCAGGTTATTCTGGTGCAGTGTGCGGATCTTCCTGAAAAGTGCGGGCTCTACTGGTAAGGTGTCCCGAAGCAGCGCATTTCGGCTCCTTTATGCCGCGTTCTGGTCAACTGGTCAAGCGTGAAATATTCCTGAAGGTGCGTTGATTACACACTCCAGCTGCTCTGTATACATGCAAACGCACAAGTATTTGTAACAACTGGCATGCACTAGGCGCGCATTAGATGCGCTCATGGCGTTTCAATAAAAAAAAAGGACAAATAAACTCGCTTCGCCGATCCGCGTCAACAGAGTTGCACGAAAGTGTTCGCGTGAAATGTTTCATAGCTACACTTCACGACGTGCTTCAGTTCAGACGGCACAAGGTAAGTTAAAGAGAGCGAAACCATTTTCTGTTGTTTTACGGCAACCCAAACTCAGATATTGCATTGAACGAGCACTGTGAAACAATCTTGGCCGACTTGGCGCCAACTGAAACGCTCCTCCCATTGAGTTAATATAGCTCCTCCTCTTCAGTTTATGTCCTGGCTACGACTTCGTCTTTGGTCACGGCGAGAATCCGGTTGCAGCCATATGCGCATGCGTACTCGTTTTGAACCTTTTGCATAATAATAAATGCCACCAGCCTTTTACAAGATCACGTGCAAGAAGTGGACCAATTACAGACGTGGATAGCAGAGAAAAGGAGCGGCAAGCGAGAGAGTGAGGATGGCATCGAGAACAATGAGTGACGCAATCTTGAAAGCTAAATGTCGAGGCCCATGTGCTCAGATTTGGGTGCACGTCAAAGAACCCCAGGTGGTCAAAATTTCCGGAGCCCTCCACTACGGCGTCTCTCAATCATATGGTGGTTTTGGGACGATAAACCCCACAAATCAATCATCAATATCTTGAAAGCTTGTTTTTATCTAGGAACCTTACTGACAACACCTGTGTCGCGAAGTTAAACGGGTTCACATACGTCAGCGAATCTTTACACTATACCGAAACTGTGGCAAGCGCATAGGCTACCCTTATGCGTTTACTCTGCAAATTGCTTTGATTGATATGTGGAGTTTAATGTCCCAAAACCGCCATATGATTATCAGAGACGCCGTCGTGGAGGGCTCCGAAAATTTCGACCACCTGGGGTTCTTTAAAATGCACCCAAATCTGAGTACACGGGCCTACAACATTTCCGCCTCCATCGGAAATGCAGCCGCCGAAGCTGCGATTCGATCCCCCGACCTGCGGGGCTGGAAATTGCTTTGGTCGAAAACACGGGTGCACACCACAGCGCAGTTTTATTATAACGGCGGCCGCCGATTTTTTATTTTTTTTTCGGAAATGCGTGCATATAAGTCCTGCATACATATTTGTATTGAGGCACATGTTCCTGGCGACCAAACTTCGTCATTCAACAAAATGAGTGTTGTCATGAGGTACAATATGCTTGCAATCTGCAAATATCCCGCCCACGTATGATTGGAATGATTAATACGGGCGTATATGCTACCAGCGTATAACATGGAGAGAATTGAACACGCTCTGAAAAACGGAGGAAGTGTCAAAGCAGTGAAGAGAAAACTTGGGATAGGCAAAAATCGGATGTATGCACTAAGGGACAAAGAAGGCAAAATAACTACCAATATGGATAGGATAGTTAAAATAGCGGAGGAGTTTTACAGAGATCTGTACAGTAGCCGAGACAACCACGACCTTAATACTATAAGAACTAGCAGTAACCCAGATGACACCCCACCAGTAATGATAGAAGTCAGAAAAGCTTTGGAGAGCATGCAAAGAGGCAAAGCTGCTGGTGAGGATCAGGTAACATCAGATCTGCTGAAAGATGGAGGACAGATTGTGTTAGAAAACTAGCCACTCTGTTTACGAAGTGTCTCCTGACGGGAAGAGTACCAGAGTCTTGGAAGAACGCTAACATCATCTTAATACATAAGAAAGAAGATGACAAGGACTTGAAGAAATACAGGCCGATTAGCTTGCTCTCTGTAGTATGCAAGCTATTTACAAAGGTAATTGCTAACAGAGTAAAGAAAGCATTAGAATTCAATCAACCAAAGGAACAAGCAGGATTTCGAACAGGCTACTCAACAACCGACCACATTCATACTATCAATCAGGTAATAGAGAAATGCTCAGAGTATAACCAACCACTACACATAGCCTTCATAGATTACGAGAAGGCGTTTGATTCAGTATAAATATCAGCAGTCATGCAGACACTGCGGAATCAGGGCGTCGATAAAGCATATATAAACATCCTGGAAGAAATCTACAGGGGATCAACTGCTACCATAGTGCTTCATAAAGAAAGCAACAGAATACAAATCAAGAAGGGTGTAAGGCAGGGGGACACAATCTCCCCAATGCTATTTACCGCATGCTTACAGGAGGTTTTCAGAAGCCTAGACTGGGAACAGTTAGGGATAAGAGTTAATGGAGAGTACCTTAGTAACCTGCGCTTCGCCGATGACATTGCATTGCTGAGTAACTCAGGGGACGAATTGCAACTCATGATTACGGAGTTAGACAAGGAGAGCAGAAAGGTGGGTCTCAAAATGAATCTGCAGAAAACGAAAGTAATGTACAACAACCTCGGAAAAGAACAGCGCTTCGAGATAGGTAATAGTGCACTTCAAGTTGTAAAAGACTATGTCTACTGAGGGCAGGTAATAACTGCGGAGCCGAACCACGTGATTGAAGTGACCAGAAGAATAAGAATGGGGTGGAGCACATTTGGCAAGCACTCTCAAATTATGACAGGTAGATTGCCACTATCCCTCAAGAGGAAGGTATATAACAGCTGTATCTTGCCGGTACTTAGCTACGGAGCAGAAACCTGGAGACTTACAAAGAAGGTTCACCTTAAATTGAGGACGACGCAGCGAGCAATGGAAAGAAAAATGGTAGGCGTAACCTTAAGAGACAAGAAGAGAGCAGAGTGGATTAGGGAACAAACGGGGTTAAGGATATCATAGCTGAAATCAAGAAGAAATGGACATGGCCCGGGCATGTAGCGCGTAGACAGGATAACCGCTGGTCGTTAAGGGTAACTGACTGGAATCTCAGAGAAGGCAAGCGGGTTAGGGGGAGACAGAAGGTTAGGTGGGCAGATGAGATTAAGAAGTTTGCGGGTATAAATTGGCAGCAGCATGCACAGGACCGGGTTAACTGGCGGAACATGGGAGAGGCCTTTGTCCTGCAGTGGACGTAGTCAGGCTGCTGATGATGATGATATGCTACCAGAGATGATATGTGGTGTTTAACGTCCCAAAACCACGATATGATTGTGAGAGATGCCGTCGTCAAGGGCACCGGAAATTTCGACCACCTGGGGTTCTTTAAGGTGCACCCAAGTCTGAGCACACGGGCCTATAACATTACCGCCTCCATCTGAGCACACGGGCCAACATTACCGCCTCCATTCGATCCCGCGACCTGCGGATTAGCGTATGCCAACCAGGCTTAAAATGTCTCACTTCTATACAACTCGCAAAAACATGATAACGTACCGTGACGCTCTTGACAGGAAAATTCGTTTGTCTTTTTCCACCCTCTTTTTGGCCTTCACCATTCCCTTGCCACCACGCTTTTGCCGTTTCTTTTCTTCATCGCCGCCAGCTCCAGTCTGCGGTGCGTCGCTGAGTTCAAGTCGCCGCTCAAATTCCTCAGGAAGGTTCTTCTGAAGCCACTCCTTGCACTTTTGCGAGTCTGGATAGTACTCGCAATATTCGAGCGGCATAGAGCACTCGCCGCAGTAGATCACCTCGAGGGGGTACGATACGCCGGGCAACGGTCCTGTTGGTAGGGCTCGTGTGCTTCCTTCAGACATGTCGCTTGATCAGTGTTCACGACACTTGCAAGGGCAATCCGAATAGGTCGCGAAAGTCGGAACGAAAAGTGGTTTGAAACCTATTGCGACGGACATCAACAACCGAGGTCTATGTAAAGTGAGCTAAAATACTAGCCGTTCGATTCGCTTGCACCACGTGAACCAGTTCACGAGGTGCTGCACCTTACCATTCGTTTCAACGGTGCAGTATTGACGACAGCTGAACCCTGCCATTCGTTTCGATAGGTGCAGCACCGGTTCACGATTTTCCTGAACCTCCTTCGCTGACGGTGCCGGCTTGGAGCAGGCGCGCGTGCAGCTGAGCAGACGACGCAGCACTTAGACGTAGGTGGCTTAGGCGCCGTACCCGCCTCTACAAATACGAAGTGTTTTGCCAAGATGTTTGCGCCTCATAAATTGTCCGCATGTGCGTTTCGCCATAGGTCAGTGTTTGCTCAATGGTGTAAATTAACCGAAAACAAAAATAAGGCCAACACCTTGTCGGCACATCGTCATTTGTTTCGGGTGTCGTGCTGTGCCTGCACCGCTGCACTCACGCTGCACAATTTCTGACCTTCGCGTGCACAGCCGTGAACCGGTTCCGACCGGTGCAGGTGAATCGAACAGACCTTATATGTAAACTGGTAGCGTAACTTTCACACCAGTGCTGCCAACCTGCGGAGCCACTTTCTCCCTCTCTGGAGTGAAAAAAAAAATCCTTAAATTTCCTTAGATTTTTGTGGAGATCGGTCTTTTGAAAAATAATGTGTTTGTGCTGTGGAAAACAATTTCAAAGTTCACTTTTATAATATAATGGTGCATTCGCTTAAAAATGTTTACTAAAATCACTGTGCTGAAGGTGAAAAAAATGTTGCAGTAAAATCGCAAAGCGTTACACAACATATTATCGCATAAAATCACAAAGGTAAAGCGATCATCACATGGGGGGGGGGGGAGAGAAAAGAATATGTAGTATCACAATATTTCGTATAAATCACCAAGAAAGAAGCAATTATTCCGTTCACACACAACCATACAACATTTCAAGAACTAGTACTAATATTGAAAAGCATTGCATATAGGCTGAAGAAGGGATAAATTATCAAAATAATACTTAAGACAGCTAGCTGATCAATTCAAAACATGAAATCTTACACTACGATACCCTGCTTTTGTAATAGCATGAAAGAGACAAAATAATAGTACTAATAACCAGAACGAGCATATAAAGCTCAGTCATAAAATATTCCGGCGAGCAAGCTTAAAAAATTCACCCAATTTCTGTTATTTCGTTATTTTACAACTCTCCTGCAGAAAATGCTTGGTGGTGTTCATATAAAACATGAAGCGATACATGTTTAAATACCTTTTAAACAATGTCTTGAAAAACTTTGAAGATTTCTCATGATATCTAATATTGCGACGAAAAATAGTTTGACCATGAAAGCATATTATGCCAGTTCATCCTTCGCAACCTGCTGAATGATTGCGAAAAGATATGCTTATTAGAAATATTGACTGCCATATATTCGTTTCAAATATATCCTTGCAGTCTTCCATTGGCCTTTTTTTTTCAGCTTTTTTTTTCAGCTTTTTTTTTTCAGCTGTGAAAATAACCGCATACACCCAGCCAAGTGCTTTGGCCGCGCGCTTTTCATAGAAACCTTGGTGACCTTATCGGAGTCACACGGCTCCATGCGACAGCTCACTATAGCAACGTGACAGCGTTTGCAAAAAGGAAAACCGGTAAAAAAACAAACATAAGGAATAATACCATGGATGAAAGAAGAAAAAAATGGGAGGTTGTTGTAAAAGAAAACATATACTAGGCGGGCTCGGGAGAGAGCACTTTTTTTTTTTCTTTGGTTCGAACCCGGATTCAAGCAATCGACGTCGAACACGGACAGCATAGAAAGAACTGCTGTGAAGTGGGGGAGAAGAGAGTGCTTACACAGCGTTGGTGGTGGAGACCAGCACTGTCACCCCCTTGGGGTGTAATACCCCTGTCACACGGGCACCCGCGAAGACCGTTTAACTCCCTCGTCCTTACGACAACGAAGATGCGGTCCGTGTCACACGGCCACCCTTACTCAAACGAAGGTAAACGGAGTGTTTCGCAAAGGACGTTCAACGATCTCCCTTCACAGTGAAACGAGGTACTCTCGTCTACAGCAGCCTAGAGGTCAGAGAAAAATTTCGAGCACTAAGTGGCCGCAGTGAAAGAATAATACATTTTGGCAATCTTAAACGTTCTTTCGTTTTAGTACTCATTCACAACGCGTGTTTGTTTACATATATTTACGCCCGCCAGAGTTCACTTACTCTCAACACCGATGCTCTACACTCCGTGCCTCGCACGTGGTGCCTCGCGAGTCGGGCCGGCCGGCGCCATTGAAAAATATTTCGTCCATGCGTGTGGTTGTGGTCGTCGCTGTGTCACTCATGGCTAAAGAACACAAAATGTGCGCTCACGAGGCAAGGAAGCACAAGAACTTTCGTACACAAACATAAACACAGGCAACAAAACAACTAAAAGCACAATGTGGCCAGCGTCACTAGCAGCATCGCTACATTAAGCGAATTCGTTTTTATTTGAAAATATTTTTATGGTTTGTTAGCCTCTTACGTCCTTAAAAGTGTTTTTTTTTGTAAAAACGCCAGAACGAGGATTCACAAAAAAAAATCAATAGAGATGAAATTAGGATACTTTTCTGAAAATCAAACAGTGCCAGCTGAGCCCCCTCGCGCCAACTGTTACAACCTTTTCATTGCCGTGTGACACTGCCACAACTCCTTCTCCGTCGAACCACCTAGGGGAGATTTACGTTGACGGTGTTCAACGGAGTTTAGTGGTGGAATAAAGAACAAAAAAAGAGGTTGTGGGCGGAAGGTCCCACCGTCGATCTGCTTGCTTCACGTGGAAGCGAAAAATTTCCCTAGATGTTGCCCAACTTCCCTTTTCTTTAAGTACAACCAAATTCCTTAGATCTAGAGAAATTTCTCTAGATTTGGCAGCGCTGTTCCACAGAAGCCTATGGTTCCAGCACGACCTAGGTTCCAGTGGTCGGCGGCTCGTTGCTACAGTTGCCATCTACGTGAGGATACAACTAACAGCAAAAAAAAAAAAAATGACGTCACAATTGGAAGTGTTAGCGACGTTGCGCACTTGCCCTACATGGCCCGAAATTGAATTTTTTTAATTGCTGGCCTGCTACATGCCTTTATTATTACGCTATTTTATTGTGCCTCAATTGTGTCTTGATAATTGCATGCGAGAGAAAAAAAAACAAAAATACCAAAGATTGAGGAAGCAAAGTTGTTTTATTAGCCAAATGACGCATTTGCAATAGGCACAAGAAAATTCGCAGAAGCAATTGTGGGACAACTGTTCATGGGCACACTAGCATAATAGTTCGAAAACTCGCGTTGCCCTATCGTTGAAAATTACCGTAGCCAGGCAGCGGTATTAAAAATATAGCTTTGGCAGCCGTACAGTACAGCGTCTTGTTGCTTAGCCTGTCACGTTTACAGTGATCAAGAGCGAAGGCACGCCGGCCGAGCGCCAGCAGTTATGACAGGAGCGGCTATCTACACATTCTGTGAGCTGGTTGAGCTATGAAATGCACATAAAAATTAAGCACACTACTGTAGGTATGCACGAAACCACCACGGAAAAGTGAGCAATGTCTCGTTGACCAGGTAATGCGCCGAAACATATAATTTCATAAAATAATTGTATGAAACTCTCTATGCGCCGAACCAAAGGACATGCCGACACAAGCACAGAACACCTATTAGTGACACTAACGTACTGGTGACACAGCATGGGTTTGTTCCAATACTCGCCGTAGACGGCCTGGTAGGTGTTCTGTGAGACGGCTAAATACACAGCTAAGTTATAGTGTTCTAGAACACTTTAGCTAAGTGGACAGCGGCCATCTGAAGTCCTATTCGAATTCTCACGTAGCCGGCAAAATAGACAGCTCCGAGAAGACCGCATCGTAGACAAATACGATGCAGGCTACTTTGATGTCTAAACAACATGGCGGTTCAGCGAATCGCTCAGATACTGTAGCTCAGATTATGGAGGAAGAAAAAGGTAGTCTACGTGCTGTCTAAGGTTTGAAACACAGCCCTAGGAAGATACTTTCTGGGGATTTTTTGGTCTAAGGATTTTCGATCGTAGCGCCGTTAACGTAACGGAGCTGCGACGTAACGTAACCATTGCTTCGCCGGCCGGTGAGGTGTTCTTTTCTCTGGCCTGATTCTCAAGCTAGCGCCTTGCTCGAGCGAGTTTGATCGTTTGGCCGTGATTCGACTCTGTGAGTCGTGCAGCTTCTGTGTGGCTAACGTGGTGCACGAACTGGCGCCCAGTATCAATTTCGTCAACATCGTGGTGACTGCGCTTGCTCGATCGACAGACGTCGCAGGCTGCAGTGCGCTTGCCTTGCCACAAGGCATAGGGCTGCCGTGCAATTAGGAGGCCAATTTAATTAACGGAATAAACCACGCCTAGCAGAAGTCGAGCGCGGCGCTGCTGCGCAATTAAGAGGCCGTTTTAATTAACGAAATGAACCGCTCATTACAGAAGTCGAGGCGCGTTCTCTTGCTGTGTGCGCAGCTGTGCGATTAAGATATCGCGTCTCAGTATTAGGGATGACGGGGAAAACTGAATAGAGTCGCAGGTGGCATAGAGAAAGAAGAAGACAAGAGCGGACACTCCGCGAAACCTGGCCTCAGGAAGTGCGTCACGACTACGTAACGAACTAGTGCTCCCACCACACGTCAGAGGGCGCAAGCGCAAAAAAAAACACAGTTATAATCAATGCAACAGAATTGTTTTCACAAATTAATAATTACACGCCCAAATTTGGTATGTTCTTTATACATAAAAACGATTTATTCAACACACCTTACGCGATTATTTTTCTTCAGCCGTACTGTCATAAACACCATCTACCCAGCGACAAGCCCATGCATGACTGACAGCGAGAAGCTTTCGTCGCTTTCGTCAACGTCGGCTGCGTCGGCGTTTTCAAGC